CTAGCCACCGTCTTTCCATTGTCTACCAGCCCAGCAGGCAAAGAACCGAAGACGAAGGCGGTGAAGAGAAAAGGAAGAGTGTGGGGAAAGAAAAGGAAAGGGGAAAAGAGAGGAGAATAGGGAAAGCATTCGACAACAAAGACGGGGGATAAATACACACAACAAGAGACAGACGACGACACAAAAAGGTTCAAAGTCGCTTCATTTTTGGGATGACGATGATGACCACAAACAACAACCATGACCATGATGACAATTAAGTAAGAGGGAGAGGGTCCAGAGTGGCAACAAGATAAAGCTGGAAAGGGGAGAGTCGGCAGGCGCATTGCTAGCTGCGTGCTAGTCAGCAGCTCAACGCATCATACCGCCCATACCGCCCAGGCGGCTGGCGAGCTGCGGGTACTTTTCCTGCACCTCGAGCTGCGTCCGCGTCGCCTCGGCGTACGACAGCGCGTTGACGATCTCGCCTTCGGTGCGGGACAGCTCGGCGGCGCGCTCGAAGTACTTGAGCGCCTCGGGCACCTTGCCTTGCTGCAGAAGAAGTTGCGCCATGGTAGCAACGGCAATGTCGCACTCGGGATCGACTGCGAAGTGTTAGTTGGATGAGATATAATTGCCAGATTGCGGTACTCACTGATGAGCGCCTTCTTGCAGAGCTCCTCAGCCTCGTTAAAGTCTTGCTTCCATTGGAATTGAGCAAGAGCCTTGTTGATCAGAGGAAGGACGTTCATGCCGAGGGGCTTGGTGGCCTTCTCCATTTCAATTGCTGTGTCAAACTTCTCAACGGCCTCCTGGTACTTTTGCTGGTCGAGAAGCAGCTCGCCGTAGTAGTTGTACACGTCCGGAACCTTGTCGAAGTTCTTCATGCAGCGGCGGAAAGTGGCCATGGACGAGGCCACGCTGCCCATCTTGTATTGCGTGACACCAAGTTGGATGTGCGAGAAGATGAAGTCCTTGTCGAGATCAATCGACTTTTGATAGTCCTTGGCGGCCTCGGCAAATTCGGACAGGATGAAGTGGAGCTGGGCGCGGTGGTAGTAGATGTCGGGGTCGTCGGGGTTTTGGGCCGTGGCCTGCTCAAAGTCGTTGGCCGCGGCCTCGCGCTCGCCTTGTTCCATTAGCTTCAATTCAGTCCTTCTTTTTGCAAGAAGACTTACCGAGCTCAAGGTGCATGCTCGCCCTCTTGATAAAGCTCTGGGTCAAGGATGGCTGCAGCTCCACACTCTTGGTCAGGTCGGCCAACGCGTCCTGGTTGTCGCCCTTGAGGTACTTGAAGGTTCCGCGCATGTTGTAGGCAAAGGCTTCGTGCTCGCCCAAGTCGCCAAGCTCGAGGGCGCGGTCAAAAGCGGCGGCCGCTTCGGCGTATCCATCTCCCGTCTTCAAGTTGAGAGCGAGCAGACCCTTCCTCAATTGACCCTTGCCAGATTCTTCTTCCAGATCCGCGTCCTCCTCAAGACCTGCCGGGAGGGGCTTCGGCCTGAAGCTCTGAAGGTAGTTGGAGACGAATGTAGGGCTGGGAAGCTTCTTCTCCTTGGTTGCGAGAATAGCGCGACCCTTGGCCTCGGCTACCTTCTTCAGAAGGCGCTCGACGCTTTGCGCGCTGACCTCGTTGCGGAATTGGTCGATGATGCAGCTAGCAGTGTAATCCAAGAGAGCTTCGCTGTAGCGCTCAGTCTGCTCGTATGCGTGCGCGCGCCTGTTCAGAGCCTTGACATATTGGTTGTCCAGGTTGATGGCGGCGGTGGTGTCCTCAATGACCTTTTCCCAGTTCGACGTGGCGTTCCAGCAGGCGGCGCGGTTGGAGTAGAAAACGGGGTCCTGCTTGCACAGGATGGCCTTGGTGTAGAGCTCAATCGCCCTGTTGTAGTCCTTGGAGCCGTACGCCTTGTTGCCAGCAGCCTTGAGCTTGGCCGCGAAATCCTTGCGGTCCTGTCGCAAATCAGAAGAAGCCTCGCAGTAAATATGGATGTCGTCGACTCACGTCAGCGCTCAGCGTAGCTGCAATAGCTTCGTCTACTTCGGGGAGCTCTTCCTCGCTCTCATCGGACACAGAGGGCTTCTTCGCAGCTATTACGGCGCGTTAGGGTATAAGCTATGTCGACAGAGTCAATGAGCGCGTACCTTCCGCCTCAGCCTTGGCCTTCTCCTCTTCAGCGGCCTTCTTGGCCCGTTTCCTCTCCTTTTGCTTCTTGTTCTTCTTGGACTGGGGTGTCTCTGGTTTCGAGCTGCTAGAGTCGGAAGTAAAGTAGTAGACCGCGCCAGCACCGGTTACCAGCACAGTAACACCCGCAATTGTGTAGACGACAGCCTTGTGCTCCGAGGCCCATGTTGATATCCTGTCCCAAAGCGATGCGGTGCCCTGGGCGGTGACGTTGGTGTCGAGGGCGATAGGTTGCGCCGGGCGCGGAATAGGAAGCTCGGGATTGCTCGACATGGCGGAGACTCTGCGCGGAGGATTCGAGTCGAAGTTCAATGCAGAGGTGGTTGTGGCTCCGCAATGGGTTTGGTGATGAACTTGGGGGAGGTCGATGAAGAGGAAGAGAGTTGCGAAGGCGGCTCACTTTTCCGGCTTGTGGATTCGAAAAGATCGTCACTCGTCAGCGTCACAGAAGGCGGGCCGCCGCTGAGGCGCAAGCCGAACCACAACACTTGACTCGACGCCGACACGCCGAGCATCAGGGTGCACTACCTCAAACTTTCTGCTCAACTGCTGCCCGTCCATTTCTCAGCCCTCATCATCATTCTCCCGTAAGCTCGTCTTCAATCGACACCATTGCTCCATTCACGTGACCAATTTAGAACACCTCCGCATTTGAACGAGAAGCGTTTCTGCATTGTACGTGTCTAGTCAGTTGCGAGCTTCAACTCCTTTCTCTCATCTTTAAAGTTCCTCAAGCATTCTACAATGCCTCCAGCTCCAGAGCCGTCCTTTTCTCTCTTTACTTCCCTTCGATACGACCCGCAACTCTCAACCAGCGAGCAAAGCAATTGGCAACTATGGAGCTTCAAGTCTGACAGTCCGTTTTACATGCTGCGGTACCATCGAGATCGCATGCTCGAAGCCGCGTTGTTCTTTGACTGGAGCGCTGTTGCCGAAAAGCTGGCCGGTGACGCCGGCGGAAACTCCCTGGAGACGACGCTGCTCCAAGAAGTGCAACTATGGCTTCTTGCGCGCAAGTCGCATGGAGATGTCGATTTGGAGACCAAGGAGAAGCCTTTGGACAAGAGTCCTTTAAAAGTATGTGCAACAACCACACTGGGCTGTCGGAAACTTCTAATGGATCCAGATTCGCGTCCTCTTCTCGCCTACCGGAGACATGCAAACCGACATCACGCCAGTTCCTCAACTATCTTTGCAAGCCCTTTTCCCTCCGACTCTAGACCTACCCCCTGAGTCCAACAGCCCCGAGCCCACATTCACTCTGACTATTGACACGTCTTCCACGCCTACATCCCCCCATACCCTTCTCAAAACTACGCACCGCCCACACTACGACGCCGCGCGAGCGCGGTCCCTCCCAAAAGCTCTGTTGCCCGGTACAGCACACGAGGTGCTTCTCTGGAACAGCGTTGGCGAGGTGATTGAAGGCACTTTTACGAGCGTCTATCTTTTCCGCGGGGGGCGTTGGGTCACGCCGCCGGTAGGGGGTCCGGGTGTTCTCTCTGATGACAAGAGCATTACCAGGGTCCAGGGGAATGAGAACGCTGGTGACGAAGGCGAACTCCGCAGCCCCTTTGGTGGTCGTTGGGGGCATACGCTTCGCTCCTCCACCTCTGCCAAGGTCGAGGGCATGGGAGGGCAGAGGGGTACGACGCGGCGGTGGGCACTACGTGGAGGGCTGTGCATGGAAGAACCGATTGAGGTGGCAACGGTCAAAGTTGGGGAAAGATGTTGGGTGAGCAACGGAGTCAGGGGCTTCGGAGTGGGTATTGTGGTTGACAGGCTGACTTGAGAGAAGCCATGTCGCCTCCGCTCAAGGACCAAAGCAAGTGAGGAAATTGATTCAACCAGGGCGCAAGCGCTGGGCTGCTCCTTATAACCATCCTTTTACGGAGTCTTCAAGATTTCGGGAACTTGGATGCTCCACGGCTTCCCGCTCTCTAGCTCAGCGCTGTGAAGTTTGGGAGTTGGCGATTCTCCTTTTAACATTGCAACAGGGCGCAGACAATTGAAAAACACCAAAGGATGTAGAAATGTGGATGAAGATCACTTCTGTTAAATTCACTGATTAAATACTTGAGTGCGTGGGTCACTCTCTTGGTTACATCGTGGACTGTGTAGATGTAGCAGACCATTGCGGTCCGATGGTCTCCATTTCTGGACATTCCCCGTTTCTTGCCAATAGTTCTTCCTTTACTTCACACCTGTCGGTGAGATCTTGATGTGCTTTATTGCCGCTTACAAGCGCAAATTGGCCTCCGAGTGTTGAGAGGAGACGAAGGAATATCGTTTCGATTCTCCAGATGTCTCATTGTGAACTCAGCCGCTTCTTCCCCTGCTACTTTCCTCTATCGCTTTCCCAAATTTCTTCCTTGTCACAAAACCCCATGCATGGTAAAGGGATTCAATCTCCACGACATCAGTGCCAGTTTCCAAAGCTGAGAGTTCCCAGCGAAAACCCCGAGTCTTTTATTACACTTATCACGGCAATTCCTGTAGATAGCTCCGTCTTGAATAGCCATTCAAGGCTCAAGTGGGACGTAAAACTACCAATCAATCAATCAATCAATCAATCAATCCAAAACTGAGAGGTCACTGGGTCCGGTTTCAATCCCACGTCGGTCACTTACTCTTAAAATGTCAACCCCGCGCTTTTCACCGCAAATTTTCCGACAAAGGGCCCTCGGTCGCTTCAATATGAGCCAATCTACTTTGCTGTAAATTTTTTAAATGAAATGCGGAGGAGCAAAACATCTTGAAAAACGAGAAAATAACGCTGTTTATATTGTGTGTCGGCAACGTCTTTGCTATCAACAAGAAGCCTAAAAGCTTCAACATCTCCGTTGTGGTCTAGTGGCTAGGATTTGCCGCTCTCATTGAGAGTCCAACTCGCTCTTGAAGCGCCGGCAAGGCCCGGGTTCAATTCCCGGCGACGGAATTTCCTTTTGTTTTGGCCTATGACTGATGTTGTTGCACGTTGTGGGGAAACTTTTGGTGTTGAGAGTTGAGCCGAAATTCTTGGCCGAAGAATTTTTTTCTCGGACGCCACACAGTGGGCTTGTGTTGTGGCGGACAAAAGCTATCTTTTTCACGGCCAATCAACGAATGGGGTGCTGTTTACATATGAATGGTTCGTGTACTGCAGGGGTACGGGAAGTGGTGTCAGGGTGAGGATGCAGCGCGTAACGCGGAGCGGGAATGCTTTGGAAATCGCGAGTCTCATGGACGGGAACAGTCAAAAGCGATCGGGCAAGAAGATTCAGGAAGAGAAAGATAAAAGTCCCGTACTTCCAGAGGTTGGCAAGCAGATGTTCTCAAGTGAAGTCCTCACTTTACGCAAACGCTCTTAAGTCTTGACTTTGGGGACGATTCTTTGGACATCTATCATGCATCGCGAGTGCTCTTGAACAGTAGCTGCACACGCTATTTTTATTTTTTTGATCATGGCACAAAATCGGAATCAATCAACAGAAGTGAAGTATGAACAAGGTGAGCGAGGCAGCAGGTGGTATGGAATTCCATCTGCGCGGGCACAGTCGGACGCAAAAGAAATGTCAACGCCAAAGCATACCAGAAATGCTCAATGGTCCCCGCATAAGCACTCATCTCAAATGTTCTCATTGTTTTTCATGTCGTGCGAACTTTTTGGCGCTCATTTTTCCATCTGCGGGCAGGATCCCAGCACAGACCCCAGCACGGATTTTGCGGGGCTAAGATTTCTGGCGCACTCGATCCATCCTTCCCAACTTTACAACACCATTCGAACAACACCTTCAACATACGATCTCAAATATTTTCCGGCCCTCTGGGGCGCGTCGCTTCTTCGCCAACCTTCATCCGTCTCCTCCAGCACAGGATGGCTTCCAACACCGCCGCCGCCGATGGCAGCAAGCCGCTCTGCCCCAAGAAACCAAAACTTCACGGCCGCGCCTTCTATGAGAGCATCGGAAGCCCGAAGCTTGTGCTTGCGCCCATGGTCGATGCCTCAGAATTTGCATGGCGTCTTCTGAGCCGATCCTTCATGCCCCAAGACCAACAGAAAGACCTTCTCGCCTACACGCCTATGTTCCACTCCCGCCTCTTCGATGAACTTCCCCGATATCGAGAAAAGGCTTTTCAGCCTCTGCGCAATACACTGGAGGCCCCGAATTCTGAGCAATTGGAGAAATACACTTTGGCGGACGCACACTTGGACGGAAACCCCAAGTTCGATCGGCCGCTCTTTGTGCAGTTTTGCTCCAACGAGCCCGACGACTTTCTCAAGGCCGCGCGATATGTCGCTCCGTTTTGCGACGCTGTCGATTTGAATCTGGGATGTCCCCAGGGCATTGCGAGGAAGGGACACTATGGCGCATTCCTACAAGAAGATTGGGGTCTCATCCGGTCGCTGATCAATAAACTGCATCAGGAGCTGGAAATTCCAGTCACTGCGAAGTTTCGTATGCAGGAGACCCCAGAAAAGACGCTCGAATACGCGAAAATGATTCTCGACGCCGGCGCCAGTATAATTACTCTGCATGGACGTCAACGTCACCAAAAAGGCCACGAGACTGGACTTGCAGATTGGAGCGTCATTAAGTACCTGCGGGACAACCTCCCAGATGAAACGGTCATCTTCGCAAACGGAAACATTCTCCAGCACGAAGACATTGCGGCATGCTTGGAAGCAACGGGAGCAGATGGGGTCATGAGCGCCGAAGGCAACCTACACGACCCTAGCATCTTCGCCCCACCGCCGCCACCTGGCCAAGAAGGTCGCGAATACTGGAGAGGCCGGGACGGCAAAGGGGGATACCGAATGGATGCCGTATTCAGGAGGTACATGGACATAATACACAGGCACGTACTTGGCGAGGAGCCACCGGCACGAAAGCCGTTGTTCATGCCATCCGATCCACCTGCAGAAAGCGAGGAAAGAGAGGGCAGCGAGAATGGTGATGAGGGACAACCCGCGCGGAAGAAGCAAAGACAGAGCAAACGCGAGAAACGGGAGCAGTCGGGCGACCCCAACTTTACGCCCATGCAGGCGCATCTCTTCCGCATGTTGCGGCCTTTGATTTCGAGATATACCAACGTCCGGGATGCGTTGGCAAAGTCTCGGTCGGGAGACATTGCGGCGTATGAAAATGTGTTGTCAATGGTCGAGCAGGCAGTAAAGGAGGGCTTGATCGAGTACGAAAAGAACCCAGAGGCTTTTGAGACGGCACCAGAGACAAACGGGTCTGCTGCTGCTGATGGAAGTGAGCCTGACCCTCACGAAAGTAGCGTGGCAGCGGTAAATCGGTGCAAGCGGCCATGGTTCATCTGCCAGCCGTACGTACGGCCGGTGCCAAAAGAGGCAATGGCCAAGGGAAGTATTCAGTTGAGCAAAAAGATGATGAAGAAGCTGGAGCGGGAATCTGAAGAGGCGCGCAAAGCAGGGGTGGAGCCGAATGGAAAAGTGGAGGAGGCAACGGTGAATGGCAAGGAGGAGAAGAAGGTCGAGATACCCAAGGACGGATTGGTTTGCGGTTGATTTTACCTTAGAATAGAGATAGAAGTTGTAAATAGTAGGTCAATGACAACGGATGCGGCCGTCGGGCGGAGCGTTCGGACCTCCGCTTATCGACTCGCGCTGTTGTCGCGCGAAATCCTGCCATCTCCACCTACCTCTCCAGTCACATTCGACGCCGCCTTCTTTTGCCGCCACCACTCACGGCCAGGCGCCATGATTATGCGTACCTCGAGCCTCATGGATGCTTCTCCTCCCAATTCTTGAGTTTTTCGCCCCGCGCCTTTGAGACTATGGCAGGGCAAGCCTTGCGCGTGCGCGCCCCCGCGCTGCGTCATGCCTGGCTTTTGTCGAGGTTGAGGACGTGCGACTCTATACGGCATATCGCGACCGGTGCTGCATCGCAACAGCCATTGTTCGAGACTTCCGACCCTGCTATCGACATTCAACGGCGCAAGACAAGCCGCAGGGAATCTATCAAGCACGCGAAACCGTTTTCCGAGTTTTTGACGGACAACTTCAATCGCCAACACGACTACCTGCGCATTAGCTTGACCGAACGTTGTAACTTGCGATGTTTGTATTGCATGCCCGAAGGTACTTACCCTCGTTCTCGTCCACGGGAAATGCTGACATTATTATTTAGAGGGTGTCCCACTCTCCCCGCCGGACCATCTCCTCTCCACTCCCGAGATATTCTACCTTTCGTCGCTCTTTGTCTCCGAAGGTGTAAATAAGATCCGTCTGACTGGCGGCGAACCAACCGTCCGGCGTGACATTCTCCCTCTCATGCACGCCATTGGCTCGCTCCGTTCCAAAGGCTTGCGCGAGCTGGCAATAACCACCAACGGCATATCTCTACACCGGAAGCTGGATAGCATGGTAGAAGCCGGCCTCACTGGCATCAACCTGAGCTTAGATACGCTGGATCCTTTCCAGTTTCAAATCATGACTCGGCGCAAAGGTTTTGACGCGGTGAAGCGCAGCATCGACCGGGTGCTCGAGATGAACAAGATGGGTGCTGGCGTCAAGCTAAAGATCAATTGCGTGGTGATGCGAGGGCTCAACGACCGCGAGATAATACCGTTCGTCGAGCTTGGTCACGAGGAAAACATCGAAGTCCGGTTCATCGAATACATGCCGTTCGACGGGAACAAGTGGAATCAGCAAAAGATGATGTCGTATGCGGAGATGCTCGACGTCATCCGCTCCAAGTATCCAGATATTGCGCCGGTCAAAGGTCACAAGAACGATACGAGTAAGAGCTGGCAGATTCCTGGCTTCGTAGGCAAGGTTGGCTTCATTACGAGTATGACGCACAACTTTTGTGGCACCTGCAACCGTTTGCGAATCACTTCTGACGGCAACCTCAAGGTTTGCCTTTTTGGCAACACCGAGGTATCATTGCGAGACATCTTGCGCAAGGACAATGGTGGCAAGCCGATGGACGAGCAAGCATTTGAAGCTGTGAGACAGCTCGAGATGAATCGTCAGCAAGGCTTAGTTGGCCAAGACTCTGCTCCGATTTGGAGCGAGCGTGAGCACGAGCTCCTTCACGTAATTGGTGCGGCTGTCAAGAGAAAGAAGGAAAAGCATGCGGGCATGGGAGAGCTCGAAAACATGAAGAATAGGCCTATGATTTTGATTGGTGGGTAGTCCTTCCTTTGTATCTGTGATGTGATCAATTGGGGTTTGACTGCACGAGCTGTATCAAAGCGGGTTGTATATTGGCACCAGCTGTACATGGCTAGCTTTGGCAACTTGATCCTGGTCATTGTCAATAGATTATTCGCCCAGTACCGTTTGAGAGTATCTCTCGTGAGCATGTTAGCTAACCTGCTGGCAGACGAGCCTCATGCGGTCATTCCAAACCTGCCGATCGCCAAGCCGTATTTCCAACCGCCGCAGCCATCTTACGCGCATCCGCTCAGATCGTCCAAACCAAATCCAGTCACACTGTTCCCCAGTAGCATCACTGCCTCCCTGAGACCGTCGTGGAATTCGATACCAACAGTCCAATCCGTTGGCAGCATTGCTCTTTCCAGCAGTAGAGCAACGAAAAAAGTTTTAGTGGCACGAAAGATAGAATCAATGCAATACGCCGTGAAGAGATGGAAATCAGCTAAGGAAGTTCTCGACCTTCTGGATGATCAAGCTGCAAAAGGAGACGTTGCGGCCCAGGGAGCGCTCATCACAAAGCGCAACAATGCCCGGGAAATGTGGCATGCAAAGAAGCAAATCCGGGCTAATTTGAGATTCCTCACAAGCGACGAGTGCAGGTTCGAGCTTGCGCGGCTTCGTATGAAGCACACTTTCCCGAAAATCGTACAACAACTCACCTATATCGAATTGACGGACACGTTTCGGCTCAATGTTGACTTCTCCGAGATTCCGATATATGGAAACCAAGATGACGGAGAAGAGCCTTACCCGGTCCCCGATGGGAG